CGTCGACGGAGCCATGTAGTTTAGACGTACCCTGGAAGAACAAGTGGATGGGACTTCCAGGAGCTGCACTGAAGAGTCACAGTCAGGAAGGGGCTGATGGCTCAGTACTCCCGGGATGTAACCTGCTTGTCGAGTTTCGATCAGTGTACCCAACAGAGCAGCATAACTGCTGGTTGGTGGCTGCCGTAGCTGCATTAGTTAAATAAATATATCACGGGACTGAGTCAGCATTACTTCATTGTCTAATTGTTACAAATGTTATATCTTTGGAGGGTAAGGTAATGAAACTGGCTTTGCACAATGATGATATATGTAACATGCCAAAATCTATACTATTATACAAGAAGAGGTGTCTGTCACAGAGAACATTTGAGAATACACTGGAAGATTTGAGAAGTATGGGTTTGCGGTGCGTCTGCCAGTGGCTTAATGGATAAGGCATCAGTCTCCGGGTCCTGGGTTTGAGTCTTGCCCCAGGAGCAGCTGGGCAGCTGTCTCCAGCTTCCCCAGGGCTAGGGGTGAGCAGCTTGTTCTGGCTGCAGCAAGAGAAGTGACTGACTGAAGGTGTGGTGGGGGCTGAGACTGTGCATGTAGGAGGGTGATGAAGCTTGGTGCTCCGTCCTTTTTATGCCTTGCCTGAAAGCCTAGGTACCTGGCTCTCTTCCTCTCCCCCGCAACAGGAAACAGCTCCCTTCCACTCCCAGCGCCTCTCCTCTAGGCAGTGCAGAAGCCCCCAGCCACACCTTCCTCTGCAGCTGGGGACAATTTTGGCTCATGTTGACCAGTCCCCTGGCTGGGACAGGAAAGCAGCCATTCCCCCTTACTGGCTAGGCTGATCCCAGTGGGGCAGAGCTCTGCCTGCAGAGCAGGGATCCCTGAATCCCAGCTCCAGTGTCTGTAACAGGGTTCATTTGTTGTAACAGTCACTCCCACATGGCACCCAGACAAAGAAGTTAGTAGCCCATGGGCTGTGCGTCACCAGGAGTGCAGGAAGTATGGCCAGTGGCTGGCCAGGATCCAGCCTACTGGCACCTGGATGACAGACTCCAGCTCTCTGTGCCCACTGTGCGCTCTGGCAGGTGTGAGAACATGGCGTGTGCGGATGGCATGAGGTGGGGCAAAGCAGCAGGAACAGAGACATGGCACTAGTGGGTCCTTCATGGGCAAGATGGTGGCCAGGTCTGCTTTTGCCTCCATATGCAGCAGGCCAGCCTGAGTGTATGTCTACCATCACAACAGGACGGGTAATGCTAGTGTAGTCCCCTTACTAAAGGGGCTCTGGTTTATTCTGAAAAGACCCTGTGTGCTACAATCCAGACTACAATTCCCATGAGCATTTGGGGAAAAACAGGAAGGAAGGACTCCGGTGTGGGAGAGGACTGCTCTCTCCATGTGCATGAAGAAAGAGGCCTGGCAGTCTGGGACTCTGCCTTGGGGTGTGGAACCGAAGGGGGAGCCAGGCTGCTGCCAAGGACACTGACCCAGTGCAGGGGCTGTTGGGTGCAGCTACAGACCAGGACTGGATGCCTGTTGGAACAGGGATCTAGCAGGCTGCTTCCTATAGGCACAGCATGAGGCAGTAA